AGAGAGCAGTGCCCTGGCCTGGAAAGATATGTCCACGCTTTGCAGGGGTGGGGGTCCTCAGGGTTCTAGTTACTTCCTCCTCAGTGAAGCCTCCAGGGATCAGGGCCCTCCTGGGAGACCCTAGAGATCTCACACGACATGCCTACCAGGACCCTGGTCACAGCCAACTGCACTCATTCTTGTCTTCCAGAGCCTCTGAACTGTCTTCCCAGCTAGTCTGCAGAGCTCCCCGAAGGGGTGAATCTGACACCGGTGAGACCAATGCTGCACATACAGGAGTCACTTAATATCATATCCATTCATTTCAATGTGCATTTCTTGAAGGCGTGCTACATGCCAGGCCGCCTCACCTCTGCAAACTCATTTAATCCACCAGCCCTGGAAAGAAAAACGAATATTGCCTCCATTTTTGCAGATGAGGAAAGTGAGACTCAGAGCCAAGACCAACCTGACTCGAGTTTCGCAGCACCACAGGGGTGGAACTAAAGGCAAGCATGCCTTCCCAGCACCGAGGCCACCTGCTCTTTTTTGGACACGCCATGTGCATTCATGTCTGTGCGCCTTTGTCCAAGCAGTGCCCGCCCCCTGGGTGCCCTTCCCATCTGGGCGACTCCTATTTACTCAAGACCTACCTCGGAGCAGCACAGGAGAACAGAGCCAGCGCCCAAGACAGACTTGGTGAACAGATGAATGGGTCTAACAGACCTGAGCTCTGCCATGTACCCAAGGCTGAACCGCGTAACATGGGTTCTGCAGTGTAAGCAACAACGAGCATGACAATGGCTGCTTCCATCCTCAGGGTTGCTGCTAGGCTACATGAGGTCACGTGTTTAATGCGCTTAGCGCAGTGCCAGGGGCACAGTGAACGTGCATTGGATCTCAGCTATCACTACTTTTTTTTGAGTCGGAGTTTCACTCTGTCATCCAGGCTGGAGTGCAGTGGCACGCTCACCGCCACCGCATCCTCGACCTGCTGGACTCAGGTGATCCTTCCGCCACAGCCTTTCAAGTAACTGGAACGACAAGCGTGTGCCACCATGCCCAGCTAATTTTTTGATTTATTGTAGATTTAAATTGCCCAGGCTGGTCTGGAACCCTAAACTCGGGCAATTCTCGCCTCCGCCTCCCAAGGCGCTGGGATTACAGGCTTGAGCCACCATGTCCCACAGCTATTTCTATTTTTCTTTCTTTCTTTCTTTTTTTTTTTTAAGGAGGGAGCTCCTTACAGAACCAAGGCCCAGTTTTATTCCATCCTGTCACCCTTAACAGTGCAGGGCATACAGTAGGTGCTCAGTAAATGTTTGTGGGTTGCACACACGTGCGGTTACCAGGGCCCCATCTTTTTCCGAAGGACACATTCCCCAATTGCAGGTGCAGACGGAGATTCCATGTCCAGCTTTTCAGGTGAGGTTTTGGGGTGAACTTGCCTGAACAAAAGTTTTGCTGAACAGCGCTCCCCCTTCCACAGTGAGGCGATTTGCGCTGACGGGGGGAAGGGGGAGCGGGGTCTTCACGTGGGCTTCCGGATATCAAGGGGGATGGCGCGGGAGGAAGCCCCTCAGTAATTGCGGGGCTTCCCCCACCCCCAGAGCTGGATTAGAGGCTGCGCCGCTTCCTTGGGGGCTCGCTCGCGCTTCCGGGGAGCCTT